GCTTTCTTATTTGAAATTGAATGGCAACAATCTTCATGGAAAGCTTTCATCATTACAGAACTGCACAAGTTTGTTGGAACTTAGTCTTGCATTCAATCAATTATCTGGAAACATTCCAAGGTGGATTGGAGAAACTCTAACAGGTCTAAAAATACGAAAGTTGGTAGGAAACATGCTTAGAGGAAAGAAAATTTGTGTTTCCTTTCTAATCTCCATGCTCTAGATCTAGGGCAGAATAATTTGTCAAGGCTGATTCCTTCATGTCTAGGCAATTTAAGCTGCTTGCATCAGCTGAAAAATAATTCTTTTATGGGATACGGTTATGGTCAATATAGGGATGATATGGAATTTATTGTAAAAGGGCAAACACTTGAATTCATTCAGATACTTGATCTCGTAAATTTGATAGATTTGTCAAGTAATAATCTTGAAGGAATGATTCCAGAGGGGATAATGAAGCTTTCTGCCTTGGGTACCTTGAACTTATCTAGGAATCGGTTAATAGGAAACATTCCCCAGAAGATTGGAGACTTGCAGCTATTAGAAACTCTAGACCTCTCAGTCAACCATCTTTCAGGCCCGATTCCAGCAAGCATGGTGTCTGTGACATCGTTAAGCCATTTGAACTTGTCTCATAATGATCTGTTTGGACCAATCCCATCGGCAAACCAGTTCCTAACCTTCAATGATCCATCCAGTTATGAAGGAAACCCAAAACTTTGTGGAGCCCCATTGCCGACTAGCTGTTCAACACACAAAAATGATGCTCCAGAGGGCAATACTGGCAAGAACAAAGATGAAATTGGGTCTGAGAAGATGTGGTTCTACACAGGAGTGGCGTTTGGTTTTGTGGTGGGATTTTGGGTTTTCTGTGGAACTTTGGTGATCAAGAGGTCTTGGAGACATGTTTACTTTTGCTTCATGGAAGAAATGAAGGATAGGATCTATGTTTTCGTTGTAGTGAAGGCAGCTCGTTTGCAGAGGAAGCTGAAGGGCGAAACAAGCTCAGACCATAGTGAATGTACCTATCTTTCACATCTTCTTATGCATTCATAATACATGTATAACCCAATTTAATTATAAGCTTTTTGTTAGTTCTTTCAGGTAATAATTAAGTTTATGTATTGGGAGGATTATTAGCTCTACACCATAAATGCTGTCTGTTCATGTACCAAAATAAATGCTGTCTGTTCCGCGATGTAGTTTTCTGCCTTGAAGGGTTGAATTATGAGGACAAATCACCGATTTGGTGGAAGTTTACCGTTTGTTGCCAATAATAATAGGTTGATATCAGTTTATTACTTCTGTTGTCAAGGAATGTCGGTATTTTCAACCAGTTGTGTGCTTTCAAGAAGTAATGGGTGTGACTCTTGCCTTTTTTATGTCATATATTTTGAACCACTGAAATTGATACCGTGTGGCTGTGAAGCAACCTTTATGCTTATAACCTAATTTTATTTATGCAATTTCTAAATAAATTATGAAAAGGTTTTAATTATAAATTTACAGTCATTGTCCTTTTTCTTTTCTTTTTTTTTTTCTTTTCTTTTCTTTTTTCTGTAACTGCACAACTGCATTATGTCATTCACTTTCATTTTCTACCTCTGTAAAGGGTATATATATCATTTATCAGATTTTCCTTGGAAATCAATCAGCTCCTACACCCTTTCAGACATTATGTCCTGAATATAAAGTAAAGTTCGCATTTTGACTGCCTCATTTCCAGGTAACCGAAGATGAGACAAACACAAACGTTTCTTCTATTCATTATATAAATGCAGTAGCACTATGAGAGGAGATTATATGTTACCTTTTTTCTTTTTCTTTTCTTTTTTTTTTTTTGGTACATCAAAAGTAAAGTAAACTAAACTAAACTAGAAAGAAACTAATAACAGAGGAAGCATGCCCCCAATTGATCCTCTGTGAGGATGTGTAACACTCCACATACCTTAGTGAATAATTTAAAAATTAGTGTCCTTTACTTTATAGTTTTAGGGATTAAATTGATTGAATTTAAAGCTTGGAGGCTTTAAGTAGAATTAAGTAAAAGTTGAATGACCATAACTCAATTATCCCAATTTTGCTTAACACATGGCATTGTCCCGACCAAGTTTTTTTCTTGTCGGTGGAAGCTTGGATAAGCCTCCAGAAGGCTCCCAAAAGCCCCATTTTGTTTTCTTATGCCTTCCTCTTCCACCTCCATCCTTTTCTTCCTTCTTTCTCCAACCAAAGTTAAGGTGCTTTTGTTAGGTAAGTATAAGTTTTAGTTATGAATTTTGAGTTAGAGTTTTGGGTAGTTTAAATTGGTGAGATTTGACTTTAATCCTTTGGTTTATAAGATTTTTGGGTATTAAATTTTTATTAGAAATATTCTTAATTTTGGGGCTTATATGAGAAGGATAGTGAGTTAGTCCTTTTTATTGGTTGATTTGGGTGTGAATTTTGCTGCAGGAATTATAAGTAAATTGTATTGTTTACGAATTACTGTTCACGATTACTGTTCAAGATTACTGTTCACGCATTATGCTTTGATCTCTTTCAATAGGAAGTCCTAATATTATTTTGGACATATTATGAATTTGTTTGACATTCGTATGTGTTTGTGGTTATGGAGGAAGTTGACCTAAGGTTAAAGCTTAGGGTATTCAGTGGACCCTTCGGGGTATTTAGTGGACCTTTGCGCAGTAGGGTTAATACTGTGATTAACTTCGGTACAGTGTTGTTAGCACACCTCAATGGACTCTATAGCATTGTGTGATTTTCGATTTTATGCATTGCGCTTGTGACATCGTATTTGTGAGCATATGATTTTAGCATATGAATTCAATTTAAATAGTGAGAATTATAACATTATGTGATTTGATTCCGTTGTGTCTTATGCTCCTTGTGTGGATAGGTCTAAGGGTCTTAGGACCCAAGTTTATAGCTTAAACTTATTACTTACTGGGCTGTGCGCTCATAAAATCCCCCCAATTTCAAATCAATAGATCGAGGTAGCAGCCTCTCGGTTTAGGAGCTTCTGGCACGGGACTCGCATGCTTGTTGTATGTACAAGCTAGGGCCTTGTGTTTTCGATAAGGAGGCAGATTGATGTGTTACCAAAACAATGACTCAACTTTTGTTTTTTTGAAAAGCTTTGAAGAAGAATTTGCCTCATATAATTTTTGTGTAAATTGATTTTATATATAAATCTTTAAATTAATTATAAATGAGTCTAGCTCAGTTTATTTTATAATTTTGAATATTTTAGCATTTTCCAATATATATATGATATTCTTTTTATTAAATTGATTTTCGAAATATAAGCTTTCTTTTGAAAAAATATTTTATATCATAAGTGTTTTTACTTCCTCTGCAATTCTTTATTATAAATTTTGTTTCCGAACTCTCTTAGAACTAAGAGTGCCTAGGAGGTGTGTTATAGGATGGACCTTAAACCACGTGGTGGAGAGTCCCAAATGCTTAAGCCTCGTGGCGAAGAGTGTCCCAAGGAAGCTAAGAAGTCTGCTGCAGCATTCCCTTCCCACAAAGTATGTTGCAAAAGGCAAACATCAAACTCCAGCATCAAACTCTTACTATCTACTAAAGTTGCTGCAGACAAATTATTTGGTACCCGATTCTCTTGAATAAAGCGAATAGCCATCAATGAATCCATTTCAGCAACTATTTTAGTTAAACGAAGAGTTGCATAATCGAAGCCCGCATTTAAGACCCCAAAGCTCAGCAATAAAAATAGAAGCATCACCCACATTGACTGTGAAACCAGAGATCGAACAACCTGAGCTATCTCTAATCAAGTCTCCTGCTCCAGCAGAATTACCAGCAGCATTATAAGACCCATCAGAGTTTATGTTACTTTGATGATTAATTAATACAAAACTATACTAAGAAACGGAAAACAATTTAAGATACTGACAATTTTTATTTTTACCAAAATGCTAATTATGAAGTGTGAACTTCTGGAAAAATTTATACAGCATAAACATTTGGCTTACCATTGACCAGTTTGGCTGGGTTTAGTCTTTTCTTTTCTCATCAAAGCTCAGGCTTTGCACCAAACTAAGAAGGCAGCACCAGACTGTTTTGATTTCTCTTTCAGGTTGGGAAAGGTTTACTGGTTTGTCTTCTGGTTGAACTTCTAAATTGTTCATCACCATTCACAACGGCAGTACCATTGTTAAAAGTAAGAAGTTTCTGGGCTGTAAAAATTCCCTCAAATGCATCATGGGGTTGGAGGAAACTACTCAAGCTCAGGCAACGGGCTAGGGGGCTCATCCAACATATCCCAGGAGATGGCACTGAGACTCATTTGTGGCATGATAATTGGCATCCTTCTGGTCCACTGGTAGAAACTTATGGTACAAAGATTA